TATGAAGAGAAAATAAATTAATTGCCTTATTTTACAAAAGAAGGAATAGGAGAGTGGATGATCTGTCTTAATATGTGTTACTTGTGTACAAAAAAAAAAAATTAATTTTTAAAAGATGAGTATACATTATATTAAAAAAACCTACCTTTTTTGGTTCCTGAGAACTCTTCAATAGTTTTAAGTACGTTGCCTGATTTATGTAATTAGAATCAAGTAATTAAGAATAGATCTGTGTAGAATCATCAGTCTTTACACTAATGTTTAAAATTGTTGATTCTCACTACCTGTAAATTAGTAGCAGATACTGTCTCTCTGTATCACCTATATCAACTGCCGACTGCCAGTCTGAATACAAAGGTAGTTACTTAAGCAAAAATGTAGGTTGGATTACAATGTATGATTTGTTTCTTTTTTCATGGTATGTTTCAGGCTAACCGTGATGCTGTACTGAGCAGAATACCAGAACACAAAAATGATCGTATCATCAGTTTGCAAAGTGCATCTGTAGTCTACGATTTACTTACTATAGCCTTGGGAAGAAGAGGCCAATATGAAATGCTCTCAGAGGTTTGTCGATAACTGTGAATATTCAGCTGTGTCTTTGTTGATAATTTCTGTTAGTCATGTTAATTGCGGTAGTACCTAAGAGCTAAACGAATACAGGACACTGTCATTCTGACTACTGTATAAATACAGTAGGTAGTTTCCACCCCAAAAAGCTTACTGTCTAAATTTATACAAGTGACTTGAGGTGGTCAGGTGGTCAAGCACTGAAATTGTGTGAAAGGTGCTTGATGGTGATAAATGTTGAGTGGCACAGCAATTCTCATGGTTTTTAGGCGAGGAGGCGTGGATCTGCTTAACAGGATATACGTTTAGTGGAGTCAGCAGAAAGGAATGGCGAAACATGAAAGCTGTTGTGGATATAAGTGATAGATATAAATACCTAGAAAAAGGATTTTTGGTGTTTTATTTCAAAATAAAACTTTATTTTACACCCCATAGTATTTGGAGTGCTCCAAAGTCCTCATAGTTTGTAAAATGGTTTTGAAGTTCATGAAACGTAAATGTTTTACTTTTTCAGGTCTGTAGGAAAGTGCATTCGCAAGTCTCAAATGTCTTGTGTTTGATTATGCAACTTGCATGTGTTTTGTTAGATTTGTGGCGATTTACTTCAGGAAGTTTTCAAGTATTGTTAACAGCTTTATACCTCAGAAACAGCTACAGCTCTTTGGGCAGAGCAGATCCTTCTGCTGCTCAAAACAGTGCTAACCCAGCAGCAGGATACTGTTGCTGACCCTGATTAGTTATTGGTATCCAGAAGGAATACTTCAGCATGTGTTAGGAAGTCATATCCAGAGATTAATTTGCTGAGAAATGGTTTCTCTCTACCATAAGGGAGGACTTTTATTAAGATAAAAATTAAAAAAATTCCTCTGTTCTTCTCTGTTATATGTTGATAGTCACCCTTTAATCTGTATCTCCTGTTATGTTAAGCTTTGAATTTGGGTATTATTCTTCTTGAAAGTATTTCATAGCAGCAAGTTGGGCATACAGGTCAGTTTTAATCAGTACAATAGAAAGTCTTTCACAAAACTAAGGAGTATCAAAGCTCACACAGGGCTGTCACCCTGCAGCATAATCTAATCAGGAATGTTTCCATTTACTTGCCACTACAGACACTTACTGTTATGGTGTTTTAGGCATTGCACCAAAGCTGCAAGAGATGAGTCTCCATATATTAGTCTATAACTTTTTAAAGGATAGACGTTGACAAGTATTGTAAAAAAACCCAAACATAGGTTCCAATTCTGATTATTTTATTTTGTCTGTGGTGTTGTGTTGGATTTTTTCTTGTTGTGGGTTTTTTGTCTTTTTTTAAACATTAACAACCATTATATTAATGGAAACAACACAAGTTCCTGGAATTCCTCCACTTGTCTCCTTTGGGAGACTTTGAGTAGTATTTATGTCACAATAGATGCAGCTTCTTGTTTGCAGTTCTTCTTGCCTTTCTTAACAGAGAAGTTCTTTGGCCTCACCAAGAAAGCTAGAGGTATCTGTATTCTTAGGTGTGTATCTTGAAGTCTAGATTACCCTGAAAGGTAGGAGGAAAGTCTTATAGTCCCCTAACATGGAGAAAAGCATAGACCTTGCTTCCCTCACTGCTTGTGTGATTGGTTTAGCCCATGTAGCTGACAGATGATTACCACTAGCCTGTTCATTTTCCTGCAGTGTTTTGAGTACAGTTGAATGTTCTAACTAATGGAATATGTTTTAACTCGACTTAGATCTTGTATTTCAGTGCCTTTTAGAGGTTGCTTGTGCTGATGGTGATCTTGGTTACAGAAAAAAGCAGAACCACAAGTATCTGGAAAGTTAAAGACCCTCTGTGTTTGACCAGCCTCTTAGCTGGGGGTTTTTAGCCACTGCCTTGGGCTTTGACATCTGAAATCTCCCTAAAGCTTGTTTTAAGGTCTTTTCTTGTTCTTGTTTAATCTAGACCTAGCATCTTTGTAATATACTGTGTGTATATTATTTTTAAATGTTCTCTTTGAAAATATAAAACAATTTTTATATGTTTGAAAAATTAAAATGTATTTATTATATGTCCATGAAGTAACTATTCTGAACATGGAAAAAAGTCATTTTATGAAGACATGATGTAGTAGACAATAATTACTTTGTCATTCGGATACTCTAAATATACAGCTGCAGAAGGAGCTCATTGGGAAATGGTTAGAACATCTCATCTGTTCTAGTTCTTGTCATCCAAAGCACAGCAGAAAACAGATTTTAAGAAGCTCTTACAGTTTATTGAGTGGTTAGAGAGTATCTACCCTCAAATCCTGTAGCCCGTAGTCTGAAATTTTTCTAACTTTGTATATTTATATACATAATACTTATATATATAAAATACTTATATATATTGTAATACTTTGTATACTAAGTATTTTTGCCAGCTTCATTCTCTGTGAGCTAATTATGACTGCTCTAGTGGAGATGTTGTAGCTTCAAGTCAGAAAGCACCATTATTCTAACTGGAAATGGTATTCACCCACCAATTGCAGTATCTTGTTTTCATTTTCTGGTTTAGCCATAGCTGATTGCTTACAGCTGTGATGTAAAAACATTAAATGACCAAAAATCTGTCTCATCCTTGTTAAACTATTTTATTGCTGAGTCATGTTCTTAATTTAAAAGGTCTAATTTCTTTATGAAGTTTGTATACCATGGACTTTCAATGTCTTATGGCTTTTTTAACTAGATCAATGAACTTTCTACTGTCATAATTCTCTGGTATACAAAAGTACTCTGGCTGTCATCAGGTTGGTTTTAAAGCTTCATAGGATATGACATATTGAGCTTATCAGTGTCCTACTAGGAGAGAGGTTTTTCAGACCAGAAATTTTCCTCGATACTCATCTTTCAACTCTCTAGCTTCAAGCATATTCTTTTCAGGAGGCCATAGCGCTAAGCAACAAAATTCAGTAATGGATTCAACATTACCTGTCCATATAGTGATTTGTGATTATTTACAAGGCAAATATCAACAGTTGCATTTCTGCCTTTCAGGAGAATGATTGTGATGAATGTATTTTCAATTAGTTAAGTCAGTTGCCCGTATCCTGAACATTACCTTAACTTGCATTTTTCCAGGGTACCATTGCTTATTATGTATTTCTCATTGATTTTTTATGGAGTTTTTTGCTAATTGAAGTTACTTTCGTTACTTGATTCAGAATAACCCAGTTTATGAGGCATTCATGTTGTTGTGCAGTTCACATACATGTATGTGCACAGATATCACTCACCTCCACACATGCTAACCACCAGTTTTCTTACCTTCTGAAGGAAAAAAAATCATGTAACTTGTCACATTTCATACTGAATTAATAGAGCTTGAAGTCAAGGAAAAAGAACGGTAAATAGATAATTAGCATGTTGAAACTCAAGCCTTTTAGAATAATCTACAATTGTGTCCTGTGTCCCTGTAATTAAAAAAATTATAAAAACCTAAAGTATCAACTTCTCAAACTTCATTATTTTCTGACAGTTAGAATTGGCAATTAATTTTTAATTAAGCAAGGCCTAGAAAATAAGATTTTTATTTTTCTAATTGTGAATGAGTACCTCTGTATAATTAATGCACATACATACATATATGAATATGTAAAAATGGGAGAAGCAAGTATGATTAGGCAGCCTAAAAAGTTATAAACATATTCTGACTTTAAGTTTCCATGTACCACTTGTTTGTGTGGATCTCTGGGATTATATGGATGCTGTAGGTCAGAGTTCTGGAAGAAGTGCTGAAATTACCTAAATCATATGTAAAAAAACTGGTGTCAAAACAGGTAGAGTGAGTTGTATTTGAAAGTGTATTTGAGAAGATAAGCCTAAATTAATTTTTCTTCATTTAGAGGCACTCAAGTTAGCAACACAGTTGTACTAATCCGTGGAGAGAGAGAGAGAGAGGTATTTAGCAGCTTTTGTTTTCTGATGAGTTCATGGAGGGAGATGGAGGAGTGTGCCTTACCTAGACATCTCTGCCAAGTATCCAAAGTCATAGGAGGTGATATCACACAGAATGAACTTATTTGTTTCTTGATGTGATCTTTTTGCTTCTACTCATCGAAAGAAAGTCCAATGGGAAAATAAATCCTGTGTTGGTTTTCTTAATAGACATTTAATTAACTTATTACACATACAATCTGATTCTGAACTTTTAACAACAGTGTTAGAAAGAATTTGTTTTTGAAAACTTCATTCTTCTATAATAATTTAATAAAAATGTTGTTTAGTAATAAGTCTTGATACTGGACATTGTGTAGTAGGAAAATTCTAGCATACATTACTTGTTTGTAGCAACCAATGCACTTCTCGCATTTGTTTTGTTTCATCCTCAGTGCATTTCTTTGCTTCAGGTTCTGGTAAAGTGTGGGAAGATGGTATGCACCTGGCTGTACTTTCTGTAATGTTAAGGCCAAGTTTGAATATGAAAAATAATTCATGATATTACAGTTTAGCATATACATTATAGCTATCAGAGCAGAAAAACTGCTTCATGTAAGTGGACTTTGCAGACTGGACAGTTCATTGCTACATCACTTTAATCCAGAACAGTGTTAAACCTTTTGACTCTCTGGAGCTGGCCTGGTTAGTAAAAATGAGTATAGCAAAATGAAATATTTCCTGCT